GACACAGAATAGGATACAAGCTTATTCAAAAACTGTTTTATTTCCTGTTTGGGTTTATGCATATGCTTTATTTTTTAAGCTTAACACTTTTTTCCAAAGCATTGCTAGATGTCAGTGTTACCTGTCATGGCTATGCAAAGGTTTTGAAAAGGTTTTTCAAAAGGTTTTCAAAACAGTCTCATAGCTATTAAACTATATCTTAAGATTTTAAATCTGTATTTAACCGCAGAATGATCTCAAAGTAAACATAGCTGCTAAAGTCTGATTTTGTGGTGGCTGTGCTTTAAATTAAATAATTATAATCTTAATTCAAGAGAAGAGGGATTTTGAAAGTCTGACACTATCCAGTGTTGAGTCCAACTATAAAGTTAAATGTTTGAAACCTGCCTGCTTCAAATGTTTGAAAATGATTAATATTTGAAAACATTTGTTAAAAATTTAGAAAAGTAGGCCTAATCAAATGTAATCAGTTACATTACTTTAATAAAGTAATTGAGAGTTACACTACTATTACATTTTAAATAGGGCAACTTCTAATCTGTAACCTATTACATTTCCAAAGTAACCTTCCCAACACTGTTTTTAGGTGATGCATTCTAGGGTCAAGTAGGTGGAAACTAAGGCGTTTTATATACAGTATACACTGTGTTCCGGGTGTCAAGTCACATTGAGGACAGTATCTCCCGAGAGAGCTCTTGGAATATGTACATTAGCCAGCTGGTCATGTCTTCTGTCCCTGGCCACCTGTGCTAAAGGCTGAAATGAACATCCTCATGGGAACAACAATAAAAAAAAGTGAAGAAAATGATGAGGCAATGTACCCAGAGAATTCAAAGTCAAATCACCAGAAAATAAGATCTGCCTTAATGGCACAAAAAGTCTGCAAATCCCAGACAAAAGCTCCTTGCACTCTGGATTGCCATTAGGTATAATAGTATATTCCGGGATGTGGAGCAGTCAAAGGCGTTGTTGCCAGGGGAACCATCTATAGATAGTATATAAGATGTTGTATACACATGAACAACAAAGGCTTCCTTAGGGCTTAAAGGAACAGTTCACCAAAAATTAATACTTGCTGAAAATTACTCACCCTCAGGCTAGCCGAGTTTATTTCTTCATTCGAAGATTAATTTAGCATTACACACTCTGCAGTGTGAATGGGTGCCGTCAGAATGAGAGTCCAAACAGCTGATAAAATCATCACAACAATCCCCAAGTAAATGACACGACCATCAATTAATGTATTGTGAAATGAAAAGCTGCATTTTAAGAAACAAGTCCATAATTAAGTTGTTTTAACATCGATTCTGGCCAAAATATGAGTCCATAAACCATAATAATGCTTGCTTAAGTGAAAAAGTTCGTCCCCTGTTGTCCTCTCACATCAAAATCCACCAACATATTATTTTAATACTGTTTTCGCGTGTAAACAGAGCTTGATTTGTGCATATTTCTCTCCTGATTCAGACAAGATGACTTTTGCTCTGGAGAAAGCAATATTATGGATACAGGACTTTATTCTTATAGTATAGCCTATACTTTATTTTTATAGTGTTTTAGATGGAAGCAACAGTTTGATATTAAAAACATCTTGATGGATTTTACTTCACAAGATTGATGGTTTGGAGTCGTGTGGATTATTGTGATGTTTTCATTAGATGTTTGAACTCTCATTCTGACGGCACCCATTCACTTCAGAGGATTCACTTCACATTCACTGTTCCGATGAAGAAGCAAACTCATCTCTTGGATGGCCGGTGGGAGTAAATTCTCAGCAAATGTTCATGTTGGGGCAAACGATTGCTTTAACTAAAGTGCTCTTAAAGACATTACAAGTGAGTGAGATTCTATTGATGCTTATTGCATATGCTTATTTTAAACTGATATTTCAAAGGAAAAAAACTTACATACGGATGCTTTAAACTAATGGGAGAAACATATTGATGACTTATTGATCATTTTTTACAGTGAACCAATTCAGAACATTAAAGTGATTTCCCCAGAGACAAAGACAAAAGTGCAAATAAGGTAATCGAATACAGCTTTGCTTGTTTCCTACTACCACTTCATTATGATGTAAGAGAGGAGGTCTATATATATTTAAAAAAAAAAGAGTTGATTCATTCTGAATATTGTAATATCAAAAATAACACACATCTAGCATCAAGTGTACTCAGCCCTTTGGAAAAAGACATGACAAATGAATTTATCCAGTAAATTAGATTGATCTCACTGGGACTGGGTGTCCTCTTCATGTCTCTGTTTTGAACTGTATAAATTCACACTGGGATAGAAACAACGTGTGTGAGCAGCTGTAAGGCAGCTCAGATATTTCTGCCAGTTACAGCAGTGACAGAGCGGCTCTGCACCTGTTTTTCAGGCAACTGGGAGCCAAATGACCCCTGACTAAATGTCTGTACTGCTGAGATAGAGCCTGGCTTAGGGCACAGGTTTGTTGCCATGGCAGTGTACCTGGTTTGCCTGTAGAGATGTTCTACCAAAAAAAATGTGGAGCTGGAGCTTCAGAGGAAATGTTTCAAAAGTGAAATGGCGCCTCTCACAAAACTGAAAGACTAGGTTATAGTTCACATCAAAAACTGAAAGAAATAATTTCAGCATTGTGAGATTCTATTTAAAAAATAGAATAGAATATTGGCTGACTGAGTATTTAACATTTCAGATAATCGAATTAATTGGATTTACTTGTGAACTAAAGGTGCAATACAAAAAATGTACACTATAAACAAATTAATGATTTATCAGCATGGCAGAAGTCGTTTGAATCTGTCAATACAGGCATGTATTGACTTGCCAAAAGGGTCTTATCATGTCTTCACTATATGTTTTCTTCACTTTTTATTTGTCTTTATTAACCGGGCAATTTGTATTGATGTGAAATGAATTGAATTGTGTGAGGGTACAGAGAGATGTTCTTGGAACAGTTGACTCACTTTGTCTTGCACCTGATGGACTCCTCCCACCAGTGACCACATCGTTATTTACAAAACACACAAAAAAAGAGAAAAGCTTTTCTGACAATACAATGCAGTACAGTACAGAAAAAAAAAATGATTAGACAATTTTTAAGAATCTTCTGAATTTAATTCATTAAGCATTGCAGCACAGTTCAAACTATCCGTTTGATTTCCTCAGTATGAATTAAATGTCAACACTTTCTCTGTTTAGATATTGAACAATACTGCCACCTAGAGTTGAAATGCAGTATTCATAATACACAGGCTGAAATATTACACTGCCAACAGTAGTTCAACATTGGCAAAACCTATAAAAGATGACATAGATATGGTAGTAAATATTTCAAAACCATCAGAAAATTGATTGAGATACTAGTAAAAAAATAGATACATAAACCTGGATAATGAATGGAAACATGTTCCATGTTGAAAAACTCAGTGTTTATTATTACATTTATTCTAGATTGAAATAAGACTACAAGGCTTCGGAAAGTAACTTCGGAGAGTTTCATTTGGAATGTTGAATGGTTGTTGTCTTCAGATTTGTGGACAAATATTTTTCCTGGCCTTCATTTCATTTCAATGTGTACATGTAAATACAGTGCAATTTTATTTTACTCGATATAAAAATACAACTTATTTATCTCAAGTGATAAAATGAATCCTAGCAAAAACATAAAAAGAAGTTCAAGAAATGGCTGAAAAAGGTAAAAAGGCTGTGCAAGATTGTTTTGGTAAAACACCATTTCCAATTGATATATAAATGGATATATAAAACATTTTTGGAATGGAAATAGATTTTTAAAAGGTCATATATGTAAATCCTACCCATTAAAAATACCAAAATCATCAATCACTCAGAAAAAAATAGGCCATTGTTTTCAAGACCTCTTACACTCTTGGGTTCAGCAGTTACGACATGGAAATTATGTTTTGGGGAATGTAAAAGTGATTTGTATTGCTTAAAGGAATAGTTCAATAGTAAATAAAAAATGCTGTTTATTTACTCACCCTAAAGCCATCCAAGATATAGGTGACTTTTTTCTTCAGTAGAACATTAAAGGTGATTTCTAGCTAAACCCATGGTCTTTGGTAATTCCTACAAGTCACTTTGAGAGGGAAAAAAATCAATACAAAAACACAAAATGAATCCCAGTGGCTCCTGATGATATTTTAAGGTCTTATGAAGTGAAACGATTAGTCTGTGTAAAAAACTGAACATTATTTTGAACATTATTATTACCTGTAATTCATAGCATCAGATAAAAGGTCCCGCATTCTCACTCTTTCTCTCATATGATGTTTGCATGGATGTGAACTGACAATTTAGCATTATATCTATACTTGTATTGTTCAAATGGTACTTTCTTTTGATCCTGTTGTAAACCACAATGGCGCAATTTCACATTCGCACATTTGTCTGAGGCTATGGATTACAGGAAAAAATGTAAATAATGTTCAGTTTCTTGCACAGACCGATCGTTTAGCTTTGTAAGACCTCAATATATCATCAGGAGCCACATGGGTTTATTTTGTGTTTTTTATCTGAAAAATGATGCTACCTCTTCTTGACTAGAATTTTATAAATCACAAAGGATGATGGGCTCAGCTAAAAATTTATACTGGAGAAAGAAAGTCACCTACATCTTGGATAGCCTAAGGGGTGAGTAAATAAAAAAAAATTATGTGAAGTATTCCTTTAACGTTATAATAAAACTTTCATAAAACCACATTGATCCTGTTGTAAACCACAATGGCGCAATTTCACATTCGCACATTTGTCTGAGGCTATGGATTACAGGAAAAAATGTAAATAATGTTCAGTTTCTTGCACAGACCGATCGTTTAGCTTTGTAAGACCTCAATATATCATCAGGAGCCACATGGGTTTATTTTGTGTTTTTTATCTGCAAAATGATGCTACCTCTTCTTGACTAGAATTTTAATCACAAAGGATGATGGGCTCAGCTAAAAATTTATACTGGAGAAAGAAAGTCACTTACATCTTGGATAGCCTAAGGGGTGAGTAAATAAAAAAAAATTATGTGAAGTATTCCTTTAATGTTATAATAAAACTTTCATAAAACCACAAACATAGTCTAGTCTGTAGAGGTCTTGGTAAATATATCACAGATGCTGAGCTGAGTTTTAGAAACCGCCAGTGCTGGATACAGTGGCTCAGTGAACGCATGCTCAAAACTGTAGAGCAAAGAAAGAGAACCCTCCCTGGCCACGCTATAAAAAGACAAGCGACCCTCACTAAAATTCAGCAGCACCCCGACCTTCCAGAGTTCAGCAGAACACACAGGTGAAGCTACCTTATCGTGCAGGGCTTCTACCTTTCCCTTCTCGTAAATTAAACACCAAGAATTAGGGTAGAAACCAATACGGCAGATGTCCTTTTGCCCCTTTCTGCCTATCTGTCCATCACAGACCCCCACTTTCCAGCGGCCCTCATCCAGAGAGACCTCCACTTCCCAGTAGCAGCAGCCTCTGTCTATGGCACGAGAGCCCAGCACCTGAGGGAAAATGTTGAAGCGTGACTCCTGCTCGGGGTAGTCCTGCTGGGTCTCACTGTACTGCACCGTCCTGTTCTCATCTGACAGCAGCAGCTTGGGATGGACAGTATCAGGATCTAGAGTTGGGCTTATCCCATCTGCAGATAGAAACATCAGCTGTCAAACATTATATTTGTGTCTGCCAATCAAGTCTTCCTGTGGCCCCAATTAATATTTTTACTTTACCAGGCAGCATTTTTCATTTTTTTAAATAAGCTTCTTATGCTCAACAGTGCTGCATTTATTTGGTAAAAAATAAAAGTAACAAAAAGTAATATTGTGAAATATGATTACAATTTAAAATATATTTTAATAATGTTTATACCTTTGATTTTCAGGAGTCATTACTCAGTGTCACATGATCTTTCAGAAATCATTCTAACGTGCTGATTTTGTGCTCAAGAAGCATCACTGTTGAAAATAGTTCGGATATTTTGGAAATTTGATCTTTTCAGGATTCTTTGATGAATAGCCAGTTCAAAAGAACGGCATTTATTTGAAATAGAAATATTTTGTAACTTAAATGTCTTTTGATCAATTTAATTCATCCTTGTTTTAATAAGGGATAGTTCACTCAAAAATAAAAATTCTGTCATCATTTACTCACCCTCATGCCATTCCAAACCTGTATGAGTTTTTTTCTTCTGTTGAATTCTGCTGGTCCTTATTGACAATACTATATGCAAGTCAATGAGGACCAGAAGCTGTTTTATTACCCATATTCTTCAAAATCTCTTCTTTTGTGTTCAGAAAAGAAACTCATACAGGTTTGGAACAACTTGTGAGTAAGTAAATAATGAATGAGTAGATTAATTATCCCTTTAATATAATACTAATTCTTTTAAAAATGCAACTGAAGAAAACTGTAGGTGGTACACACATTACAAATATTTACAAAACAATTATTATACTGTATAGCATATATTTGTACAATTACTGACATACATTGATCAGTGGACTCATCCCCCTCCAAAAAAAAGCTTTGAAATGCTTCAATTAAATTGTCAGTCATACAAATAGTGAGACAGTTCAGTCATTTAAAAATAGTGTTACAACTCCACTCGCCCTCATAGGCACGCCGGATCTGTTTGCTACGTTGTTGTGATTTGATCTGAACGAAAACAGCGTATCCGTGTGACACAGCTGACACAGAACAGCATACGCTGTTTACGTCCAGCGGATATTCTCCAAAATGGCGCTACAGGGTGACGCGGAGGAGAGGAATTGTTGAATAAAGTTTGTTTTTTTTTCTTTTGTGCACAAAAAGTATTCCCGTAGCTTCGTATAGTTGCGGTTGAACCCCTGATGTCACATGGATTATTTTACAGATCTCTTTGCTACGTTTCTGGACTTGGGAACATTTCAGTTGCATTGCTGTCTATGCAGGGTCAGACAGCTCTCAGATTCCATCAAAAATATCTTAATTTGTGTTCCGAAGATGAACGAGGGTCTTACGGGTTTGAAACGACATGAGGGTGAGTAATTAATGACAGAATTTTCATTTTTGGGTGAACTATCCCTTTAACCAACAACCTGGAAACAACCTAGAGCAATCAAAATATTAGACAGCAGCATTACTGGAAAACAAAGCTAAATCTCAAAATCATTTTTTGCTAAAAAAAAAAAATGTCTTAAATCACTTTAATGAGCTTGTTCTGAATTCATATCATCACTATAGGTCATTTTATACTTTTTTAGATGTTATTCCAGTATTATAGTATGATTTATACTGTGAAGTGTGTAAAAGACTCACACAGCAGTCTGAAAGGGTCTCGATGAGGCAGTGATATGAGCACAGTCTCCAGTCTCCTCTCGGTCCAATCATTAAGACAGTCCAGCCGGTTATGGTTTATCTCATCGTGAGTCTCAAGATTTTGTACAGGATCAGACAATTCAGTCAGTCTGGAGGAGGACATCAGTTTTACTTAATAAACATAATTATATTATAATCAACAAATATTTGAACCATTTTACTTACTGTCCTGCCATCTTGCTGTATTCCTGAAATAACCAGTAAAAATTGCATTACATATATGCATTACTAAAATAAAGTAAAAAAAAAAAAAGAAAAAAAAAGAAGGATATTTTCTATTGAATATTTCGATCAGTTTAAGATCACTGCTGCTTGTCATACCATGATGAAGGTCTGGTCTTGGTACTGTGACGCCCCTTCAGCATTGGTCATTCCCTGCAGGGTGTTTAATATACTCTGGCTAGATATCAAGGCACCCTGTAATGTGTCCAGCTGCTTTTCAATGCTTCCCAGCACTCTGTCCTCTTCCTGGGTCACACAGAGTAAAGCCTGCTCCTCCTCTTGCTCCAGAGCCACCCGCATGGCCTGATACTGCTGCAATACGGCCGCCCGCATGTCCTCCAGTCCCTCCTGCAAGAATCACAAAACATGAGGGAAGCAAAAGCTCCTGTGCACAGAGTTAGCATTTTATTTGATGCTATTGTATCTTAATTTATTACTTTTATTTATAAAGCTTTTAGTAATTGTAGTACTTTAACTTAAACTTGTTCTAACTTTTTCAATTTCTAATTTTCTTTTAAAGGGGTCATAGGATGCTACATGCATTAACATTTAAAGGAAAATGCTACAAAAACGGCTTGATCTGAAAAGAGCTGTTTTTGACAGGGTAAAAAAGGTGTTTTTTTACACTACCATTGAGAAATTTTAACCAAATTATGTTACAGACTTTTCATTAAGACCCTAAAGAATCATATCAACTTGTGGAAAATGGGCATCCTATGACCCCTTTAAGCGCTTTAAGTTTATGTTTTTATCTAATACTGATATTTTATTTTATTTCAATTAATAAAAATGACTTTAAATAGTTTTAGTTAATAACAATATTGGACAAAGAGACCATAGACCCATGAACAACTTAAAGGGGTAGTTCTTTAAGTTGTTCAAAAGCTCTCGGATTTCATAAAAAAATATCTTAATTTGTGTTCCGAAGATGAACGAAGGTCTTACAGGTTTGGAACGACATGAGGGTGAGTAATTAATGACAGAATTTTAATTTTTGGGTGAAAATAAATAAAAGAAATAACTGTAACAATAAAAACCTCGCTAAACTGCAACAATTAAATCGACAAACATTCTCACACTTACCTGGACACCACGTTTTTTCTCACTGAGCTCAGAGAGTTTCTCTTGAATGGACTTTTCAGTTTTTTGTATTTTTTGCATCTCATCCTTCAGTGAACCCTGAGAAATTAATGCAGATAAACCAATGAGCAACACATTTTTTGAAATAAAGAAATTAATACTCCCATTCAGCAAGTACACATTACTCAAAAGTAAGAGTAAAGGCATTTATAATGCTACAAAAGATTTCGATTTCAAATGAATGTTGTTCTTCATGTGAATTATATTTTAAAATAGAAAGAATTTATGATCAAAATGACTTCAAAAACATTAAATAAATGTTACCAACATTTGAACAATAGTATACTACTAAAAACTACAGGTTTAACCAGAATCTTAATGGGGTGCTATTATGCTTTTTCACTTTTTCAACTTTAGTTAGTCTGTAATGTTGCTGTTTGAGCATAAAAAAGATCTGCAAAGTTACAAAGCTCAAAGTCCAATTCAAAAGGAGATATTTTATTTAACAGAAATCACTTTTCAAAAACTACAACGAACGACTCGTTTGGACTACAACGCATCTTTTCTGGGATTTGTGATATCACAAATATCGACGAATGGGACGAGACCTGGTTGAGCTGCACTAGAGAAGGCAACGAGTGTTATCACTATGTCGGAGACACGTTAGCTTTCCCAAGGCAGACGAACTTAGAGTGGTTACAATCATCCGGGTTTAAATCGCGCTCAAATTGATTTGATTTTGAGCAATATTTTCACTGAAGCTCGCAGCAGGCAGCTATGGTAAGGAGCATGACATTTCCCGACCAGGCGCAGAGTGCTGCCAATCACAACACACACCGGCCCAGCTAACCAATCACAGCACATTTCGTATTTCAGAAGGCGGGCCTTCATTTGATACAGGAACTATTCGAGCCGTTCATGCCAGACTGGGGATAGAGGTGTTGTAATAATGTAAAATATGTGAAAAATAATGTGTTTTTCGAACAACCTAGTATGAGAGCCTGTTCTAGTACACCCCCAAAACAAAATCAAGACTTTGTCTTTGGGGAAAAAAAAAGGGGAAATGGTGTTTAAAAATGCCCAATAGTATCTCACCCTGAGCTCTTGCTCTGCCTCGCGGATGCTGATGCACTCGTGCCCCTTGTGCAGGCCGACCAGGGAACACACAGTGCAAACACACACTGCACATGATCGACAGTAGATCCGGTTCATCTCCTGGTGCTCCTGGCATCTCCACAGAGACACATCCTCCACAGCGTTCACCAGCGGGTGGTTCTGGAAAACCGGCTTTTCCAGGTGTGCCCGCAGGTGCTCGGAGCACATGGAGGCCCCACAAACCAGGCAGGTCTTTACCGCCACCTTCTGTTCTGAACTGGGACAGTAATGGCAAGGCACAGAACTGCTCCTGCAAAGTCTCTCTGAGGATGATGCTGCTGCTGAGATACTGAGGGGCTCTCCACTGTTAAAATCTGTTTCCTGCCTTCCAGGTGTATGAGAGGTGGCATTGACTGCTGGTGAGGGGGTTTTCTCTCCCTGAGGTGTGTTGCTCGTCCTGGGTGAGCCGGTGTCACTGCAGGAAGCCACAGGATGCTGGTCTTGCTGAGGGGAACTTGTGTTCCTCTTGGGAGATGATTCTACACGAGGAGACGTGATCTCTGTGTCTGGAGGTGTGCGTTGTGAGGATGTGTCATTCGTAGAGGTGGTCCCCCAAACCACTGATGGAGACTGGCTTCCAGAAGAGCATTCGTCTGCTGCGGCCTTTCTTTTCCGTGGTATCGATGTGTCTTCATCAGAGTCAATGATTTTGATTACATCATAGTCACTGATGGGGTTATTAGATGGGGCTGAGCCCAGTCTGTGTCCACCAGCGTGGAATGCTGAACTGAACTTCCTCTTCCCGTGCCATTTCTTCGAGTGCCGGCCGTGCAGCTTCTTTCCAAATGGCCAATCTACTTGAAAACATAGTATTACATTAATGTATATAAGTGTTTCTTGGTTATTTATTTTATGGTGTCTTTGTTACAGTGTAATAGACCTTAGTCAGGTTATATTTCATATTTAATTTAAAATTAATTAAAACAAGGCTGTGAGGGAAAGGTATGCACTGTATAAAAGTTCTAGATCAAGTTCTATAATCTTCACAACTTACAACTTTTAAAACACTTTCATGTAATTACTGAGTAATATAAATTATCAACACCGTACTACTTACATACTATAGGGTTAGAGATTGGTTTAGGGCTAGTTACATGTCATAATGCATATTGTACTGTTATTACTAAAATAAGTACATGTAACAGGGACACTGCAAAATAAAGCCCAGCTTTGGGCAATTTTAGTTTTTTTAGGGGTCGACAGATTTCAACTTTTTATTATTGATATATGAATAACAGATTAAAACTGTCTTGGAAACATTTTTCCATGCTTTTATTGTTTGTGATTTACAATTGCAATAATTTCATAATTTCATTTTTAAAATGGATTTTACTTATTTTATATATTTCTTTATTTATATTCAGGGTTGTTTTACCCCATCCTAGACCCTTTCTTCTTAATACTATGAAAATTGAATGTACAATTTTTTAAAACATTTTGACAATGATTTTTCAAAAATGCAATCTCTCAGTTGTGGCATCATTTCCATCACAACATACTATTTTACCCCAAATAATTTTTTATTTTCAGAACTTGTTTATCAAAGTAACTTTCTGTGAAGAGCTTGAGTTGAATTATCTACTGTAATGTATGTTCAAGGTAAATATCACTAAATATTATAGCACAGCATTTCAAATAATTTTGCAATTGTACAATTTTGCAAATATTTTATTTTGATATATATATATATATATATATATATATATATATAATGTGTGT